CCCCCCGAAAAGAGTTCGAGTGACTGCGGTAACGCGAAAGTGCGAGCGGGAGGCTGGGGTTTGGAGTTGGGAGCGCTGGGAGATGGCGAGGGGGAAGCGGTAAACGTGCCTGCCTTCAACGTGCAGGAATTAAACCAGCCGGGAGCTCCGGTGTGAGATAGGCGTGTGTGCTGCTCGGGATTACAAAATATACACCGATGCCTAAAACCCAGAAGCCAAGAAAAATAACCATTTATTAAAGGCTTTTCTTGAGGGTGTAAGCTGCCAGCCCATTTGCTTAAAAAAAAAAAATAAAAAAAAAATTTAAAGTTTATTTGAGTTGTCCGAGACATTGTTCTGCAGCAGATGTTTGTTGTCTAAACTTCACTTTGCAACTCGCGTGACTTAATTTCAGAGTGAAAATGTGTACTGAAATGTGCTGCCCTTCTCAAAAGCCTTTTCTATTCTTAAACTTAACACTGCCAGGGTGCACCTGATAAATTACACGTCTTTTCATCTGGAAAGGCTCTAAAAATAAAATACACAACAGTTTGGCTTCAGAGGCACATTCTTGGCTTTCCCTTTGCCTTTCTTAAGATGGTCATTGGTGGCCAAAGCATATGGCTGTGTGTGGAAGAGAAGGGAGAACTGCAGTGTGTGTGGTGGTGGTGGTGGTGGTAGTGAAGGGGGGGGGTCTAGGTTCTTTGGTCAAGTCTGTTCCATGGGTATTTTGGAAGGCAGTAAAATATGATTCCAGCTGAATCACAGTGAGTGTACTGAACGCATAGCATCGGATGTTCTTGTGTCGGCAAAAGTGGGTACTGGAAAGTTAAGTCCTGTTCTCACTCTTACTTCTCACTTGTTGCTTTGACTTCAGGATATCATGAAAATTGAGAGCAGTTTGGCTCACTGTTTTGAAAATAGAAATGTCTTATTCTTCAAGCTGTAAAGTACCCAAGTACCCAGAGTGACTCATGAGGTGGTAAAAACCCTCAGTTCCCTGTGGGACTCTGACTGGAACGCCCACTGGGAGCAGAGAGTGGAGATGTACTGGAGATGGTTGCTGAAGGGCTTTGGCATTCCCATTATCCCCAGTTACACATTCCCAGAGGAGGACTGCAGGCCGGAGAGGTACAGGCCTGAGTCTCTGCCTGTATGTGTTGGGGCTGTGTGTGGTGGGGCTGGGGAGGGCAGTGGAGGTGTGCCTTGCCATAGGGCGGGTCAAAGGGTTGTGGCCTACCACACAGCACTGCCCTTGTCATGGCAGAGGGACCATGCAGACCCTGGTGGACCCTAGGAATGAAAGTCATGGTGGGGAGCCCCTGCTTCAACCTGGAAGCATGCTTATCCCTACTGGGATCCTTGACCTCTGCAGGAGAGCACGCGAACCGCTGCAGAAAGCCCAAAACATGGTGGTGGGCAGGGAGACTTCCTAGGAGGGACAAATGGTGGTGCTTGCTGCTGACCCCAACTGCTCCCTCTATCATTGGGGCAGGGAGGACAAAGGTCAGCCAAATAGCTGAAGCAGGCGGCTGAATTGTCCTCCACATGACTGTGGTTCTTGACCACATAACACTGCCTTTATTCGAGTAGTTTAGCAAATGCTGTTTTGGCCATCACATTCATGAGGAAGTACAGCCGGGTTGCCCCTGTACCACCAATGGGTTTATCTGTCTAGTGGTACAGCAACAGGAATCCTCCAGTTTGCTTTAAGGGAATAAAACTGATTTCCAGCGGTATCAAGAGCTTGGGGTATTGAGGTGCCTAACCAAGGCACTGCTCAACACACAATGTGCGACAGGCAGGCTTTTCAGGTCCTTTTTTTAGTATTTTGAGCTGAGGTCCATGCTTTACAGCTAGTGGCTAGTCCTCTGTGCATGGCTGGGGCAAAGATGTTTTCTGGAGTGAGTTGTAGAGCTGTCAGGAAGCAGTGACATCAATACCCTGGGCCTGGCTGCTGCTGTCTTGTTATTACAGTATACAACCAACTTTAATTTTTCTAACTGTTAAAAAATGAATATGCTTTCTAAGTTACTGGCTGTAAAGCAGGAGGAAAACAAAAAAGTAGCATGTCTGAAAGATACTACCTGGAAACGTTGCTATCAGAAAAGAATAAATTTTAATTTATTACATTATTTATATTAACTTTCAAGTGGGTTGTGAATGATACTCATTCCCTGAGTGTCCTGGCAAGTAATAATGTTACAGCCTCTGTTGCCTTGCCAGTAGCCTATCAGAGGCAAATACTTTTGTGATACTAAGTTTGCTGTAATACTTTTAAGAGAAGAAGTAATTATGAGTAATGGAAGAGATCCTGTATGATTTCTGCTGATTGAGTTAGTGCATTGCCGATGTCGTCAGCCAGGGGAACTGGTGTAGCACCATCGCCTTTAGTAGGGTCGTGACAGTTTACAGATGCTGAGTTCTGGCTGGTAAAGTCCTAAGTCTGGCATACAGTTTTCTTCACAGAAAGAAATGTATTTGTCCTTTGGTAGACCAGTATGGTAACTCTGTTTGGAAAAGACTTGCAGAAGCATTTATTTTGTTGCATGTGATGCTCTTAAATGGTATGAATATGATTCTCTCAGGCAGCCATCAGCCAGTCTGGTGAGTACTGCTAGTTGAGCTATCATTAGCAAATACTTCTCTAGTCAAATGTAATTGTTTATTTTACAGTAGAAAGCACTTGCAATTCATATTGACACAGTGGCGTTTTGTTATAAGCCAATACAATGCAAGACTGTGATAGTTTCTGTGATAACAGTGTGCAGATTGTAACTGAGTTACAATTAGATTGAACCTGAGCTGAGGTGAAGCTGTTCTGTTGAAGAGCTTCACTGTTACCATGCTTTAGAAAAGAGGTCAACAACTCAAGGGCCCAGTTCTGCCCCTGGGAAATGAATGACACGGTTGCTGTCATCTTCAGAGTAAAAAAGACCAAGGACACCAAGCAACAACTGTGTTTCTTGGATGATGTGTTTCTCCCAGCAGGTCTCTTCACCAAAGTATTTTGGACCTAAGAGCTAGTATGGGGAAATAATAATAACAACAGGTTGAGTAGTAAACTATTTTTTCCGAAAATAATTATAAAATGTATTAAGGAATTCAAGTCAATTCACTGTAGGCTTTTGTCAGATTACTTCTGTTCTGAAGGAGGGAAGCCAGGAAAAGGGAGGGTGGGAAAACAGGGTGTGGGTCATCCTTTAAATCCCTTTACGTTCATCTGGGATGTGGTTTTCTCCTCCCCTCTTCCAGAAGGCACTTGAAAATGCATCTCCCATTTTTCAAGTGCTCAAAACAGAGTGCTGGAATGGCAGTGTCTCACATGTTTTTGTGACCTTAAGAAACGTGTATATAGAAACCTCTATATAGAATCAGAGTGGTTTTGCTTGGAAGGGACCTTAAAGATCATCTAGTTCCAACCCCACTGCCATGCACAGGGACACCTTCCACTCAATCAGGTTGCTCAAAGCCCCATGCAACCTGGCCTTAACCACTTCTAGGGAGGGAGGGATCATCCACAGCTTCTCTGGGCAACCTGTTCAACCATCTGACCACCCTCACAGTAGAGAATTTCTTCCTAACATCTAATTAAATCTACTGTCTTTCAGTTTAAAACCAATACCCCTCATCCTGCCACTGCACTCCTTGATAAAGAGTCCATCCCGTCTTCTCTGTAGGCCCCCTTTAAGTAGTGGAAGGCTGCTATTTTCCAGTGAAAGTACAGACATTTCTATATTAAGCCTATAAGCCTGTTGACGGTAAGACTGCTTTATTACCCATAGTGAATCAGATATTCAGTGGGATGTACAGGCTGCAGGTTGAAAACTGTTAGTGTGCTGAGGTTGAGATCTAGCCGAGGTTGAAATCCCAGTGTCTTCCTTCGATACCCATCCTTTGAAAGTGTCTTTCATGTGTTTGGGAAGTGCTCGTGACGCTTGAGTAAATAAATGGTAAGGTCAGGAACTCTAGCTCTTAACAAGTTCTCTAAGCTAAGCTATTTAATTTTGGGCCAATGGAAAGTGTCCTCCCATCCAGTACAACTTTTTATTTTTTCACCTTTCCCAGAAAAAAATTAAATCTTTACAAATCTGGTTCAGATAAAACCAGTTCTCTCCTCATCCCCATCCTGGTTTGGTTACTGAGCTGAAAAACTGTCTGTCTCTTCATCCACTATACATACGTTTGGGGCATGTGCACAGATTCTCATTGGAGTATGCAGCAACTAAATGGTAACATTTCTGCTAAAACAGTGCATGCCTCTGACATCTTCTGATGATTTTACAAAGCTGTGCAGATCTCTTTCAATATTTGTGTATGGCAATGGAAAAAAGACAGCTAGGAGGATCTGCTGCAAAAATGCAACCTATCAAAGTTCGTGGGAAAACATTGCAGTTAATTTAAGTCATAAGAAAGAAAAATAGAAGTAAATTGAGGAGGACAATTGAAATTGGTATAACTGGTTTTTATTTTTAAAAAACCCAACAACATTAAATGTATGTCTTGTATATACATGCAAAGGGGAAAAAAAGTAAAGTGAACCTTAAAGGAAAGCAAAACTTACAGAGATGTGACTTACTATGTTTATTTTAGAAAGGGTAGCAGAAATCCAACTAATTTGAATGGGAAATGGGATTGGTTTTATGAAGACTGGCTTTCAGAGCATCACCTTAATTGTAAATAGCGTGATTTTGTACCATCAAGGGTGGGAAGTTGGTTTAGGCATTGGCAACAGCACACTGGCACCAAGACTTGATACCAGCTTTCTCAGGCTCTTTGCTACCTTAGGTCTGCATGGGGAACAGGGGCCAGCTTAGAAAGCAGTGAGTATGCCCTGCTGCTGCTCAGGCAGTAATGGCTGGGTGGTGTTTTTGGTAGCACCACGTACACTTCAGTCTTTTTGAGAAGGAGTGAACTGGTTGCTGTGCACACTTGGGGCTTGCTGGGACCCTTTCCAAATCCTTCTCACTGCTCCTCTGAATTTTTTTCAGCATGAATATTTTGTAGGGGGAAGCACCTATGAGCAGTTCTCCACATTGCCTTCCTATTTTTGCAGTAGAGTTGCATCTGTGTGAAGCATGACCAATGGCTTACCCCTAGCTACCTTGATAAGCATGCAGCAGTGCTACACTGTGGTGCCCCATTGCAGTCAGCATCCCTCTCAGCTCCTGGGTGTATGTAGCAGCTGGAGCACCCGCGTGAGCTGTGGGTGACATGGGAAGACAGTGAGGTTTATGTTGCATTTGGTTGTTTTTTTTATTTTCAGAGCCTGGTTTGCAAGCCACTCTACTGAATTAATATGCGAGGCTTGCTGGAGCTGGGGATACCCACCGCTTGCCCAGAGGAGTGCTTGGAGGAACGTGGATTGATCTCCCTCTTGTGGAAAATTATCGGAACTAAATTCTCGTGATACTAAACGGGGAAAGTCCGGCATCGATGAACAAATGATGGCAGCAGTTACAATGCCACCTGATGCTCTTGTTGGCGCTCAAGGAAATGAAGAGATGGACTCTCTGATTGTACTGCATTATAATTACACAGGAAAGCTTATTTTAAGGGAAAAGGCAACTGATAGCATAGACTTGCCCACTATTGCATTTCTGATCCTATGTAGTTTCATAGTCCTGGAAAACTTGATGGTGTTGATTGCCATATGGAAAAACAATAAATTTCACAACCGCATGTACTTTTTTATTGGCAATCTAGCTCTCTGTGATCTTTTAGCCGGCATTGTTTACAAAGTCAACATTCTTATGTCTGGGAAGAAAACTCTGAGCTTGTCTTCCACAATCTGGTTCATTAGGGAAGGCAGTATGTTTGTTGCCCTGGGAGCCTCCACTTTCAGCTTACTAGCAATAGCTATTGAGCGGCATTTGACCATGATTAAAATGAGGCCTTATGATGCAAATAAAAGATACAGAGTATTCCTTCTCATTGGTACCTGCTGGCTTATTTCGATTTCCCTGGGTGCCTTACCCATCCTCGGCTGGAACTGTATAAACAACTTACCAGATTGCTCAACAATTTTGCCTCTATACTCCAAGAAGTATGTTGTGTTCTGCATTAGTATCTTCATCGCCATTTTGGTTGCCATTGTCATCCTTTATGCCCGTATCTACATCCTGGTGAAGTCCAGCAGTCGTAATGTCACTAATCACAACAACTCAGAGCGGTCCATGGCACTCCTTAGAACTGTCGTGATCGTTGTTAGTGTCTTCATTGCCTGTTGGTCTCCGCTGTTCATCCTGTTCCTCATTGATGTGGCCTGCAGAGTCAAGGAGTGCTCTATCTTGTACAAAGCCAACTGGTTTATTGCTTTGGCGGTCATCAATTCTGCAATGAACCCCATCATCTACACTCTGGCCAGTAAGGAAATGCGTCGGGCTTTCTTTCGCCTTGTTTGTGGCTGCCTGGTGAGATCCAAGGTGGCCAGAGCCTTACCTATTCAGCCCACGCCAGATCACAGTCGAAGTAAATCCAGCAGTAGCAATACCCAAAAGCCAAAGGAAGATTTTCCACCGATTAATGTTCCCTCGTGTATCGCTGAGAAGAATGAATCCTCATTTCACAACGGAAACTTCTGTAAATAGAGGACTCTTCGAAACAAGTAATTTTCTGTGGCTTTTAGAGTTAAACTACAAGTGTAGTTTAAGCATTCATGCACTTAAGTCACAGGGGAAAACACTAACCAGTTATTTAACTTTAAGGACTTATTTATCAACAATCATTTGCTTTGGGTGTTCATTCAGCAATGCACCGTATTCAGAAAAGACTTAACATACTACCCAACAGTGAGGACAGAGTCCATGCACATCTAATGACATTGTGCACCACGGTGGTATTGCATGATGAGGCTGCATTTGGCACTGCCTGATCTTGCAGGACATCAAGAAAACCTGTTAGAAACCTCAGCATTCACTGAACACTGCTGACGATCAGAAAATGAGCCTGATTATTGTGGACTGGGAGAAAAGCTCATTACATATGTTGGTGTTTATAGTTCTCTATATGTATCTTGCTATTATGTTAATGACCTTATATGGTATAAATAGCTGTATATTTGTACAATTCCTTATTAAAAAGTCATCGTTTGGTAAAAGTTTACAATATGCTAAACGTATTGCAGTATACAGTGTAAGGTGACAAATTATACAAATAGATGTTTTTCAATGGGGATATTTGAAAATATATGAAGTAGTAGCTTTTAACTGACAGGAACTTTAACATGTCATATCAATGCAGTATTTTTATTTTTTCCACTGTTAGTCTGACTTTTCATAGTTAGTGAAAGACAATATGACAGTTGTCACTGTGACATTTCACAACTTAATTTAAACAAGCAGTAGTAAATAACCTTGTTGAGAGAGGCTATATGTTTGCTATTTAAAGTAGTTAAAATGTGACCCAACGATACACGTGTATCAAGTGTATGTACTGTTTCAATGCATATATTTTTACTTACTATTTCCAATGTATTTAAAAATGTATGTCAAACCTATGTAAACCTGTGTACATTGTGAATGCACTACCTAAGCTGAGATTCTTCAGTTCTGAAACAGAGACACATCATTTCAGAAAGCAATGAACCACAGGCAAGACCCTGAGGAGTTCCTTCGTTTCTCTCCAGGCACTACCACAGCACAGGATTGTGTTAGACATTCTCCCTGGGACGAAGTCCAGCCAGTGGGACAAGATCCCATTTTCCTGGCAATGGGACCCTACACTCCTACTGTCTCTGGGCACTTTTACGGATACACGAGGGAAGATGTGGTACAACAGGATCATGCTGAAGGGTGTATCTCTATTTACACCTGACCCTGCCTTGGATCTCGAATGAAAGCCTGTTTAGTTTGGAAGACCTTCCAACTTTCCTGAAGCCCCAGACTTACTCTTTTGAGAGGCTGTTCCAGAGAAACCTGTATGAAAACAACTTTATTGTTCATCACTGCCTTACCAGCCTCAGTACAGGATGCTGTTCAGCAACAGAGGGATTCCCTGAGACCTAGAATAGTTAAAACTTCATAAACACCTGGTTTCAAGTCCCCATGGAAGTGGCCCATGGTACTTCCATCAATAGTACTTTATGGCTGGAGGCTTCTGTGGAGGTTGACGGGAAATTCTGAGCTTAGTTCCTGTTGTCTTTCAGTAAGAATGTAAGCATCTAACTTTATTGGGCTCTTTCAAAGATTTGTGTCTTAATGTCTCAAACCACACCTTGCCTTACGCACAATCAGAAGTAGTTGAGGCTTTTTTAATACACAGCCTGAAAGAGCTCATCCTTAGCTTTATTCCAGTCTTAACCATTTAAAGCAGCAGCATTAGACTCTTCCCAAGTATGTACAGTGTATAAGTTGTGTAATGCGTGTAGCAAAGGCCTTTAAAATGTAGAGGTTTGCGTTGTGATTATCTTTTACAAGTTAACAGTCTGCTTGTGAATGTTTTATGCTGTTAGAAAAGTGTAAGAGCAAAGAAAAACTGTATTTGAATGAAATAACTGTGAAAGAGAGTAGTAGATATGAAATAATTTCTGCCAAAACTGTTGAAAAGCAGTGCACTTGGAGAAGAAGAAAAAGCTAAACTAAGCTAAGCATGGTATCACTATAGGAACTGCAAATACAGGCTGGGTCAGCAGCTCTGTGGCTTTGTGAGAAATAGACCTGGTGACATTGCATTGCCATGGCTTGCTTAGGTTTTTAGATCTTACAGTGCTATTTGGCTGTATATTCAGAGTGGAAGTTCTCCCCTGAAGTTGTGTCTTTGAAAACTGCCAGCTAAAATTTTTGTAACTTTTAAATGTTAGTTCATGACGTGGTGGCACATGGCAGCATTCTTTGCTGTGGTAGAGCAGAAAGGCCTTAGCAACACAACAGTTTGAGAAAACATTGTGGCTGACCCCATGCCAACTCCTGTGTCAAGGGTATTACATGATTCTTGCTAGTTAGGTGAAAAAAAAATATTTTTAACAGTCAAAGACCAAGGACATGCACATAAAAGTGAGTTTTCGCATCTGGATTCTAGCCTTAGCTATTGTCAGAATTGATGCAAGGTACAAGTTAATGCAAGCAACTCCACTGTTGGAGGCCATGTGATTGTGTGTCAGTATAAAAACCTTTCAGTCTACTTTGATTTTCTTCTCTTATTTTGGAGCTGTGGGGATATTTTGTTAGTTCACTACCCTGCTGTACCTGAAGCAGGCTCCTAAGGTTCATGGGCTTTACATGTAACACTGATAAATATAATTTGCAAAGTACTTATGACTGGAGCAAAAACCAAACTGTTGTGGAGACAGTCTTCAGGGCGTACATCCTACTGGGACATATTAGGTAAAGCACAGACTCTGCAAGAATTCAGAGCAAAATTTTAAAGTAGGACAAGTCAGGGGCTTAACAGCAGTGTGACATAAACAGCCAGGAAGATGTCCTATCCCTGAAGCTGGAAAAAGACGGAGAATAGCTTCTTTCACCAAAAAATATTAGACAATTTCTTAAATTACATCCCAGAGTCCAAGTTTTTTATCATCTAGGCTGATTTGAGCATAAGAGAAACTGTATCATGTCTCTCTTTCCCAATTGGTTTTACATGGAGCAAAAGCTACAAAGGAGAGCAACATTTCATATTATTTCATGAATTGGAATATTTATGTTGGTTTTGGATTACAAAAGAAATGCAAATCAAAGTGACTGAGGAGAAAAAAAAGCTTTCACAAGATGCTTTGCAAGAGTCTTTTATTGCCAACAGTCTTAGAGAGTATTTTGAACTCATTAGATACCACAAACATCTGGAAAACTTTTAATTAAATCTCAAACCTTTGAACCAAAGTTGTTGTGTAGCAGTCATTTTTCAAAGTATTATAAAAAAGTTTTTGGCCTTCTATGGAAAACATGCTTTTAAACTCTGAATTTTGTATCTGAAAGCAGTACCTGTGGGAACACTGTACAGCCAAAGGCTCTGCCTCTGCCGCCCCAGAGCTGGGGGAGAGCATTGCCCCTGCTTTCCTGGGAACAGACTTCATCCCTTGGCTCCCCTGCTCCAAGGGCTGTCTGTTCCGGCAGCACCCCACACGTCTATTGTCTTGGAAAGGCACATTTTACAAGGAATGACTATAATTAGGGTGTAGCACTGCTTACAAGGTCTGTCATTTCCAGCTGCTCTAGTAAGGAAATGGAAAACACACCTGTGCATGAAGTACCAGGTGCCAAAAAGCTGGGGTCCTCAGAGCAGCTGGTCCGCCCCTGCTGAGCAGAGCTGTGTTGGCATCCACCCCAGGTACTGCCATTCAGCCCACCATCACAACCAAGGGCACAGCTTGGCACCTTGGCTTTGCTGGGGCCTGTGGACCCCATGGCTGCCTCAGGCCTGGGGACACTCCCTTCTCATGGCAAAACTCGTGGGAGGCAGGCACAGCAGCAGTGATCAGGGGCCACCACTGAGCCCTGAGCCTTGCTGCAGCCCTGAGGCCCCCTGGCAGCTGAAGGAGTCTGGAGGCACCGTGCAGGGGCATTGCAGAGGCATTCTGGTGCCCATGTTGCCTTCAGAACTGCATTTCTTCTCCCCAGTGAGCAATGTAACTTCCCAGGGCATCTCTGGGCTCAGCATTTCTCCAAGCGGGTAAGGGGGAAGGGCCTTTGCAAGGAGACAGTTGGGCAGTGGAGGAAGAGGATTTGGGGAACATCAACTGAGCTAAGCTTCCTTCTGACATGGACCCTTTCTCCTCTCCACTGTATGCTAAATAGCTGCTCTTGCACGGATCTTGTCCTTGCAGTCACTCTCATGGAAAGACTGTCGAGTTAACTACCCTTGGCTACCCTCACCTACTCGGTGTGCCAAGCCAGAAAGCTACCTTTTCAGGAGAGGGCATCATCTGGCCCAGAAAGAGGGCCTGTACGAGGGATTACTTGCATTGTAAAAATGGTATTTGTTGAAAATGAACTGATAGAAGTCAGTGTTGCCTCTGTCAAAGTAGGTGGAGCTCCTCTGGTGCAAGGTCAGTGTAAGTGAGGTCAGACTCCTCACGTGCCATTTGGTCCTCTGGCATTTTTCATCCCTGTTTCTACTGACTGTTCATTGACTTATTTGATATCCAGGTAAACCCTGTAGAATTTTATTCTGCTACCAAATGGGCATCCCTTCAGGTAAATAAACAAAACAAAACAAACCAGAATAGGCCATTAGGGAACCTCGGCATAGGAGAACAGACTCAATCCCACTTTACATGCATTTTGATTTGATAGTAGTGCTCATTATTTTATTACTTTGGTTAATCATATACAAACTGAATAAGCAGAAAACAGTTGCATGACACTTATATTCCAAATTCTGTTGCTCAGGGACTTCCTTGGAGACAAAATTTGCCTCTATAACCAGAATACCACAATCAGCGGACAGGCAAAAACTTGAGATTCACAAAAGTCGTTGGGAATATAAATGATCACAATATTTCTACATACATTATTTTTCCTGTAATTCTCAGTTAAAAATGTTTCTAAAAGTAATAAATATTAATAAATAACAAATGTAGAGTCAAACTCCCTTTTACAGCAAAATAGTCACTTTTTTTGGTTTTGTTGTTGCTGCCTACACAATGCAAAGAAAAACATTTACCTCAGAAGAAGAAACCTGGCATCTTTTGAGGTTTAACTCTGGAGGACTTTACTGAGAAGCAGTTACCACACCAGTCCAGCCACAAAGGACACAAATATATACCAATTATAATCTTTACATTCTTCATTTAATAAAAAAATCCACTTATTTTGAATAAATATTTGCCTGGATGTGTTTGGCTGGTTTTGCCTCACAGAAGAAAAAGGAGGACAGCTAGAAGAAGCTGTCATTTGACTTGTACCTTATTTGACCTTCATGATAGCTACGTAAAATGTACATCTGCATCTTAATCTCAAAAATCTGAGGCTACCTTCCTTTTCTGAGTCATCCGTGCTGTCTCCCACAAAGTGGGGTAGCAGAATCAGTCACACAGCTTTAGCTACTTTCTTCCTTCCTTTGGTTCCCACAGCCTGTTCTGTTGGCAAACACAGTTTAAAGACTATTCAGCTTTTCCCCTATATGGTGTTTTTGCTAGAAATGTTGGAGGATGCAGAGGAATAGATAAAGGCTTACAAGCATAAATGTCTCAAAAAGAAATGAGACATGGACATTGTTTAAATATTTTGCAGTTCCCCTCCCCAGAGGTTCTGCTTTAACCCTATCAACCAATTATTGTGTTTATAATTTAGCAACAGCTCTCTGTTCTTATTAGTGACTTGTTTGCCTACTGGCTTATGTTTCTAGGCTTCACATTTCTTATCCCTGGGGTTTTCTTTCCCAGGACAGCTTTTCACTCCCTATCCAAGCCTCTGGTTAACTGCAGGCGAATTGCATGTCCATGTTATGTTTTCCACAGGCCTGACCTCATTCCAGCTGCATCCAATGCAGATGTGAGCAAGGTCCACAGATGCTGTGTGCAAGTACAGCTGAGCACAGAGTTTTAGTGGGAATTTGCCCGTAGCCTGACATCTTCGAGCAAGCATAGATTTGTGGAGAGTACAACGCTAGGTCTGGGCAAAAAAGACCATGTAAATCAACATATTTTTGGCAGTACACTAAGGTAAATCTGAATTTGGATTTTATGCAGACATATTTTGAAAATGTCTGGAAGATAAAAAGGGAAGTGTGTCTGTTACTTCAGCTTAGACTTTGTTTATGGAAAAATGGCTTGCTTAATATAATTTCTTGGTTCTGCCACTTACTTCAGATAGACTGGATGCTAAGAACAAAGGCTTCAAAGCAGGATTTGTAACCCATTGTCAGAACATTCACAAGTTCCAAAATTCCCCTTTAGAGCTGTAAATTTCCCATAGGGTGCAAAACTCTGCTACTTTCCAAAAGGAGCATTTGCTACTTACAAATATCTAAATATGCATCAATTCTATTATGAATACATTGTAGCTAGCATCTGGCACTTGGTGTGCCAGCAGCAATCGCACTGTGGTATAAATCTGATAAATTCTCCTCATCTTACTGCACAGTGTGATGCCTGGGGACCATGAAGATAAGAAATGTGAGCTTATTATTCCACAGAGCAGAAAAAGAATGAACCCAGGATATAGAAAATTTAACGCTGGCAGGTGACATTTACCAAACTGTTAGTAAATGTTTTCTTCCCATGACAGTTCACATTTTGCACTCAAATCCTGGTCCCAGGACTATGTCCTTTGCTCAAGCTTAGACTGAACACGTGGTGGAGAGGTTTCTGGCAGAGAACCAGCATTATCTTCCATTGTGAACCCTGTAGGGTGTGGAGGGAAGCCTCTGTATGACCTTCTATCCTCACTATGTATGCAAAGCCAGGCAGTAAGCCATGGAAATTGTTATTTCCTGCTGTGTTCTCCACCCAGGCATGGCCTATTTGAAATGTCCTCTTCTTGCATTAGGGAAGGGAACTTGAGAGTCCTCACTCTGAGCAAACTCCCACTGAAGTCAGAAGGTTTTCAAACCGAAATTCAGTTTTCAAATTTCTGCCTTTGGGGTTTCATTGCTTCTGAAACATCTGAAATAACCAAAAGTTTGGGAACATGACTGTAACTCAATGTCCAAGCTATCACTGCCAGCCTCACTGGGCAAATTTTATTATCCTAATCATTATTCTAGGTCTGCAATAAAATTAATCAGAAGCATTTGGTTCACTTTTGCAAGTTCTTTGTTTAAAGGAATTGAATGTGTTTTCATTGCCCATAGTTCACATAGTTGCAACAAAACTGGAATCAAAACTGATGATCAGATAGGACTCAAAATCAGTGTAGACAGTCTTGCAGGATATTTAGAGTTTCAGTTCTGACTTATCAGCTATCCCCTGGGAAAATATCAAAGGATCCCATAATATTGTCTAATCTGAGTGATTTCTACTGAATCTAGTAAATTTGTTCTTTCAGTAGAATCCCAGTTCTTGAAGTCATGGTACTGAATTATCACCAGCAAGCGTCTAGCCCTTAGTATTGCACAAAAGAGAATAAAAACAAAAAGGTGAGGGGACTCAAACCCAAAGGCAAATATCAAAAGGCTCAAATTATTCTGCTGTCAGCTGTCTGGTTTTCAGCCAATTGCACAGCATTTGAGCCCATCTCATAACTTCTATGTCTCTTAAATTGCTGGCAGCATTGGCTCTTCACAGAAAAGAGCCTGGCCTCTCTAGCAATTTGCTCTTGCTGAGCTCAGTGTAAAAAGGTCTTTAACGACAACAGGTTTGGAACAGCTACCCAAATGGCTGTGCAGGTTTTATACCATTTCTATGTAGCAGAAAGCTAAAACTACCAGAGTGACATGGACAAAAAGCAATGTCAGGATCCACAAAAGGAGCATTGACTGGCCCACATGCCCTTCCTTCTGGACAGCTTTGAGAACACTGGTTCCCAGTGACTTAGGAAAGCCTCTGGATCATCACACCTGGCCAGACAGGATCTCCTGGCCCATTGCGGCAGCAAGGCACTGTTGCAGCCCAAAGGTGCTTCCGCTGCCCAGGACCAAACTGCATCTGACCAAGTGATGTGTAACCTTTGCATCACCAGTGGGCATGCCCAGCTGGACAAACTGGCTGTGCTGACAGAGCAACCTAAAACAGCCACATTTTCCTGGAGGCAGAGTTTGTGAAATGTCATCTGGGGAATTT